AAAAAAAAAAAATCAACATGTCATTGGCAGATAATTGGGTTCCTTAATTATTTAGCCAGGGGTTTGATCTTCAATTCTTTGTGTATGAAATACTTTGATTTACCAGAAAAAATCAACGTGTCGATGCCACATAGTTGTGTTCTTAATTATGCAGTTATGTGTGTATGAAAAACATATGTCGAGAAATGTCTCTTAAGTATGTAGTTAAAGAGTTTGATCACCAGACTAATGTGTATAGAAGGGTAAATTAGTTCTATAAATGAATCTCTGTATTTTAAAGTATTAATCCTTAATTGTTGGCTTCTAAGTACGTAGTTAAGGGTTTGATCGCCAGACTAATGTGTATAGAAGAGCATCTGATGGGAGATGTTAGTTCTTTAGCCTTTAGTCTTAAACTCTTGGGCTCTCACTCACTAACACACACAAAATGACAAAAAGGATATATAGATTAATGGTGAAGTTTGAAAATGCGAAATTGGTGATGTGTCAGCTGGTTAGATAGAAATTGGTGCATGCTGTTACATTTGTTTTGTTTGTGAATGTCATGTTTATGATTGGGTAATTTGGGATGATTTTGGTGGCTAGATATTGTCGAGAAAGAACCATTTGGATGATGAAATCTACAACGAGCTTGTTGAGAGAGCGAGGAATGAGGGGTATGATGTGAGCAAACTCCACAAGACTCCACAGACTAATCCTCCACCTGAGGAAGAAGGTCCTGAGGACACCAAAGGCGTATGGTGGATCAAGTCCCTTCTGGGAAGGTGAAGGAGTGTTTCACATCGTTATCATTAAAAGTCGTGAATCGGAGCAATTCGTTTTGGATCTCTGTATTTTACATATGTCGGCATCGTATGGTGTTTGATGCTCTGATACTGTTCGGTGAGAATCCCATGTTTGAATACTTTGCGGAGGTTTCCATTTTGCTTTCACTTTTACTTTTACTTTGTTGAATTTTCTGGCTAAGCTATATTTTACTATATATGTTGGCTTGTCATATAAATTTCATATATTTTAGTATTTTACTATATAGGTTAGTTCTTATTGTCAACTACTACCGATAACCCAATATCTGGATTGATTTTCTTATATTTTAGTATTTTATTATACAGGAGGGTTTGTGTAGTTCAATACTACTAGTTCATCATGATTTGTTAACCCAATACTTTGGACAGGTCAATTACTAGTCCAAGTTTTAAAACTTTGGTCTTGGGGCTACTTTCACTCTAGTGAGCTCTCTTGCCTAATTTTTACAAGGTGAAATTCTCTGATGGACCACTCGTACAAGTGGTGTATGAGTGCACCATGAATATTTATCATTAGATGCATCTAATCCTACTGGTTATCATACACCCTATCACAGACTATCTAAATTTTTGAATTTTTTATTAAATTAATTTAAAAAAAAATTACCCAAAAAAACATCTGTTCAAATTTATCTACGAACTGTCACATGTCAGTGTTCACCTTCAAAACAGGTTGTTTTAAAATCAGAACGGTTCGTTCCAGATGAAAAAAAATAACACATACAAATGGACCAGAACGACCCGTTCCAAATTCAAAAATAAGATATGATAAGTTGAACCAGAACGAGCCGTTCTACATTTGGAACTGGCCGTTTCATATGAAAAAATAACACATAACGAATAAACCAGAATGACTCGTTTCAGTTTCAAAAATAACAAATGATCAGATAAACTAGAACGGGCCGTTTTGAATTCAGAACGGCCCGTTCTAACTACATATTTGTCATACAAACTT